AACAAAATTCCTGAATTCTGATCGCAAAATGTCACAACAATGGAAATGACGTCTTGGATCTCCTGCTGGTCAAATTGAGCTATAACAACAATACAACATTTCTTGTTTGTTTTATAAGTTGGTTTGTATAATCACGGACCTGAAGTCCGTGGTATAATCACCGGTAGTATCCAAAGCCCCGCTATGATTTCAAAGTAGCGAGCAAGTTCCCGCTGAAATCGCGAGGAATAAAAAAAGTGATGGGTTGTCTTTTTTTTACTTGAATTGTATGATATACAAAACGTTTTCTTTTTAATTTTCCGCAATGATAACATGGTATTGAGACTAAAAAGGCAACTGATGGAAAAAAGTATCACGAGTGGTCGTTCTGTGGTTCTTTATTTGACAATTGAAGAGAGAAAAGTATCATCTTGAATCTTTATCTATATATTTCTATACGTTATAGGTGAAGAACGACGTTGTCCTGTGGTTGAAAAAATGGTAGTGATTTGAAATAAAAATGTACTGAGTTTCACTTCCTAAAGCTTTACAGAACACTTTATACTTCAATTTTATCATATCTCTCAAGGCCCAGCTTCCAGCGGAGCAAAAAAAGCAAAGACCCCGCTGAAATCATGAGGAGGCCCCGCTGAAAACATGAGGAGGTCCCGCTGAAAACAGGAGCAAGTGTCTCTCAAAAATGGAATGAATCCTGATTATACCGTGAAAATCTCCCACTATCGTACCCAGCTTGATCCACTATTTTACCCAGTTTCATGAATACATCATTTGTTGATACAATTTTCAAAAACAGCAAATACTGTATTGATATAGTAGATATTATGATACGTTGTAATGGAAAATGTGATGAGAATAAGATCGGATGAAATGTTAAAAGTTTAACCTCATTTTCATAATTACGATGTGAACATAAATGTTGTTGATTTTACGCATCAAATCTAATCAATTCGTCTGTTTGAAAAGCTAAGTGGAATTCCATCATTTATGAGTACAAGTCGATATTTAGTGAGATTCATGCGTAAGCTAAAACGATTAAGTCAGAAAAATGTTCAGTTATACTATTTTTGTCTCAATCTCCTGTTGCCAGCTTAGATACTGACTCACTCAACCACCCACTAATTAAATCACTCACTTTTTCACTCCCTTTTCAGGAGTGATTGAGTGAATGAGTGAGTGAATAAATTAATGAATGGATGGATACATGGATGAATGAGAATATAAAGATTATATGTGGTATGCTTCTAAAAAAAGATAATAATAATAAAAGGAGATTAATAGTAATAATATTAAATCAAAAAAATAAGAATCAATCATTTAAAATGAATCTGCATTGAGGTATTTATGGGTATATATGAATTTAATGTAATGAATGCATACTATATGTAATTGTAAGTGTTTACTTAATGTGAATAATAAAATATATATATATATTATGTCTCAATATTCTTAGTTTAGCAAATAAATACTATTGCCTAATGACATAATAATAACATAATAAATGTCAATAATTAATTAATTGATCATAATCAATAATTAATTAATTACAGCACTGTAAACTGTACTTCGTGAATTAGCGCATCATTGAAAAATATAGAGGGTACTTGACTTTGCTAATTAATAAAAAAAAAAAGTAATTAGTAAACCCCCATATATAATTTTTGCACTAAACAGCTACATGAAATATCAGGCAAAACCGATGCTAACTTCCAAAGTTATCAAATCAATTCACACTAGGGTGGTACCCCCATTAGGAACTCTAGAGTTAAATGATAAACATATATTCCTACATGCGTTTCCACCTGGTGAGCACCTGTCAGCGTTACCGTTTACTTATTAATGTAGGGTCTAGCAAAGGTCCATAAAGAATTTATAAATATTAAATCTTAATATTTTTTAAGTTTACAACTGCTGATATACTAATTGGTTGTTTGAATGGTAATTAGCATGATATATCTATTTTATTTGTTAAATTGTAAATGAGACTAACTGTCCGTCTGTATTTTTTCAATATTTTATACAATTATTTTACCCTGATTGTACATCTACATGTATTTAGTTCTTCAGGAGTTGACAAGTAAAATAATACTATTTATTTGATGTTTTAATCGATGTTTCAATCATGTTCATCACTGGTGTTCTCCTGGGTTGCACTTATTGTCACGCCTATTTAGACTCATGATCTTGTTATATTTTGATACATGATCTTATTGGCAATTAAATTTGAATGTATGAGCGTACATAAATGTACGGGCCCGTTGAAATTGGGGATGGGGATGTGTTTGGTGCGATTGCATTCCCTATGGCACCCTCTCACTAAAACTGAAAATGGAACTTTTATTATTTTTTCTAATTGACTCAAACACTTTGGAAGTGCATAGAAATCACTGAATAGCATTTTACCCCATGCACCCTCCTACCAGAAAACAGGGGAATTAATCAGTTTTTGATTTTTTATAATCTCAAACACAAAAGTGTCAAGAATTCATCAATCAATTCTGAATTTTGTTCTTTTGTTTCTAACACTTAAAGCGGATATCATCATATTTGAAATATGATGATATCCCCATGTTAAGTCAATGGAGACAACGAAAATTAAAAACAGAAGATGTGAACTTTGCAAAGCTTGACCTACCTTCCAGGGTCAAGGTCTAGGTTTTTCTTAATATTGATCTCTAATAATTTATCATATTTTCATATTTTTTTAATGTTTTTTTATAATTGATGATTTTGTAAATTAGACCCCTGCTGAAATCTCAAATGAATAAAGATCTGTTAATTTGTATGATGATCTCCAAATTTAGAAATAGGCAATGGTGTAATTATAACTAGTATAGACAAATTTAAATCGTTAGACTTATTTAATTATACAGTGTTTAATGATTTATACCACCCACTGAGAGTTTGGAGTCCATTTTGGTCTTATTTTTCAGTTGAAATGGTATAAAATGTTCTTGATGTCAAAGAATTTATAATATTTTTACTTATTTATTATCTATTGAAAAGATATTTTTAGATATAAAAATTGTTTTGAAAAATGACCCCTGCGTCATCCCAAATAAATGATAAACGGTTGTGTGATGCTCAACAAGCAAAAATATGTTCCGTGATATTAAATCTACCAATACAATATATTTAAAACAGTGGAGCTTCAACAGGAGGAAGTTATTAAAATGTTGTCAATTCCTTTAGTATTAAAAGTCTCAAACATATAGTACTCTATAAGCAAATTTTTAGTGTTCAAAACAGTATGCTTGTACCCATGTCATAAACTAATGCAATTCAAAAACAAATTCGTAAAATAACCATTGTGAAAAGTTTAATAAAGCAATGCATCTTTAAATCAATGTCATGTTTAAAAAAGAAAAGAGGTGAACACAAAACAATAGATGACAATCAAGAGTACCTTTTCAAGTACTCAAGGAAATGTTCTGAATAAACGGTTTCGTAGATACTTGTTTAAAATGAATGTTATGATTCAGATCAGTTAAAATCTAAAATGGCTCTGATCTCACGAACCATCCTACACACATCCGTCTCAATGTTGACCCGAGACTTAGCACTGTTTGAACACAAGGACACCTCATGCTTGGGCTTACATGCTTTATTCCCAGACGTCCTTCCTTTATTCACTAAAATGCCATTTGAGAAACACAAAATATAGAATCTTTCCTAAATCCAAATCATGTTTTTTAGTTTAGGGGAATGTATTCGGTGTTTGATTTTAGACAAGTCATAAATAATGTCAAATCGGAGAAATGAAAGAACTAACATGCGGATTCTACATTGCTCGATCGAGTGACCTACTTTGTCTACCACGCCCACTTGTCCCTACCTGGTTCTAAAGACGCCATAACAAAATGGATGAACTTCCATCGGAGGAAATTCTTATTTTCACCAACAAGGAGGTCGATTTCTACCCAAATATTTTAATAGGCCATAACATGAAGCAACCAGACGTTTCGAAATTCATCAGATAACATCCTAGTTGCTGATGTGAGGAATTCTCAATCGATTACTTGAGCTGATGGATATATTTGCTCGCTACTGCCTAGATTTTCAGAAAACGGATGTTACATTTGGTAAAATATTTGAAAACATATCGACACCCTACTTTTAACTTTTAATTTTCTCCAACGGAAGTTCATCCATTTTGTTATAAAGACGTAACGTCTTCAACAGGTGGGGATCAATGACGCCCTCGATGGCAAGTTTAAACTATGGGAAATCATATTGCCTCAAATGGGCAAACTATGAACAATGATGACTTCAACCACCTCAAACTGTGAAATTTTCAATCTACATCGACTCACTGTCTTCAATTTACAAAGTGAAGAATATTTTCATGTCACATGTCAGATAAACATAACGATAAGTGTCAAGGTTCTGCTAGCGTCATTATATCCGAATTCATATCTAAAAATAAGTTATCTATTTCAGAATGGAAGTGTAGTTGCCAAAGTGACCATGACCCTTACAACGCTTCATAAAATATTTCCAAACTTTGCACTTCTGGTCCCAATGCATTACTTTTAAAAGTACCTTATGGGACCACCAACGCTAGCCTTGTTACATGTAATTATGGGAAACCCCCGTACATGTTTGAACAAAAAATTATTCGGATCTTAAAGACACGGGGATCTAGGCGCCAAGGTCAACCCTTATATGGTTGTTAAGGTGACATCTTGACTCTACTGATTGATATCGATGCTTTGCCAACTCGACCCTTGCAAAAAGTTTCATTGAAAAGATCTTATTTTAGTAATTTTAAGAATTTAAGACAACGTGCATTGTGGAATGACCATTCCTTTCAGGCGTTGTTTCCTAAAATTAACACTCGATGTTGCGCATCTTGTGCCAATTTAGAAAACAACACCTTCAAGGAATGGTCAGTTCACATTGCACTGAGTCCAGGGCGTAAATCCTTAAATAACGTGTTCGAGTATTATTCACTTCAGGCTCGAAGGTCTTCACATTTAATTTTTGTTATTTTTGTCACTTACCAACGGTGTACACGACCCCCCTTGCTGCATCATAGGAACTCTGTGCGGCAGCATCTTGCCGAATGTCGAACGTTGGCTTGCTGTCGGTGTACATGAATGGGAGATAGATGGTGGAGACATGGCTTAGACCAACATTCGTCGACACCTTGTTGACGCCACATGTTAATACCAGATAAAGTAATGCCATCGGGGGCATGGTCAGAGTGTTGCTGAAAAATATAGCATTTTATATTTTCATTCAATTGAAAATTCTTATTTATGTAGGTTTCCACTATTTATTTTTTTGTTTTACCAACAAATAAAATATCTTAATCATATAAACGATAAAGGAACCGACTCACTTCTACGTGAAGCCCTTGAGGTAAATAAACAACTGACAGATATGAATAAACAATCATGGCTCACGCACATCAATGATGTACTTAAATATATTTATTTACAATGGTACTTCACCAAACTTTTTGTAAGAAACCAAGAGAAATAAAGAAATTACTGGAAAATAGATACATACAATTTGGGAAACTAAAATAAAATCAAATAATGGTAAATTGAGGTTTTATAAGACAATGAAAGCAAAATGGAACAAGGAACCCTACTTGGATTTAATCAAAAATGAAATAGACAGAAATAACTTGACAAAGCTAAGAATTAGCGCACATAAATTTGAAATCGAAACAGGTCGTTACACAAAACTAATTACCCCTATTGAAGAAAGAAAATGTCTTGTGTAACAAGAAAACCGATTCAGAATGCCATTTCCTATTTGAATGCAATAAGTTTAAAGATGTTCGGTCAAGTTACATGGATAAACTTAAAAAAACACTGTCAAAATTTAGAAAACATGAATATCGTGGAACATAAATTAATGTTTCTATTTAATTCAGAGGGCATAATATTAAATATACTCGCAAAGTATATATCAAATATTTTTATCGAGAGAGAAAAAAACACGAAATGCATCCAATAAAAGCTTGCAATGATCAAGCACGCTTTAGTTTCATTGTTTTCTGTATAAGCTGTACACTTTGAAGGAGGATGCACAATTGTTGTTAATTAAATTCAAATAAATCATCCAAAACGATTTCTGCTCGCGTTTTCCAGTTTATGGAGAATACTATACTATCGCACCCCCCCCCCTCAATTCAACTGGCTGAAAAATGGCTACGCCCCTGCAATATATTCACTTTGTTTCATGAATATTTTGTTTCACATACTTTAGGTAGTTACTGAAAAAGCATATATCTGTGATGTACAGGATATCAACAATGATTATTTTAATGAATCCTCTATTACAAGAAGTTAAATTTTCAATGAAATATGTAAGAATTGATCATAAATAGGAAAATTATTTGATACCAAATATCTTGAAAATACTTCTCTGAATCAAATTATCAATAACACTGAAAGCAACCCCCATAACACTGTTAATTGTTGATTCAAAAAAGTATTTAATGTTAGCAATTAGCAAAGATTTGAACTTCATCAATCTGTTATCATATTTGCACCAAGCAGTACATTCTACCTCACTGTATTAAGTAACAAAGAGACTATATGAGAGAGCGGTCAGCTGCTATTTACCCTTTGTTTTCCTTTGAGGATTAAATGTTAAATTCAGATACCAAAGAAAGTGAACTTGTTACTGAAAGTAGATGTTATTTCGTAATAATTTCAGTTTTCTAAAGTGCCATGAATGGCCTAAGTTAAACGTTAGTTTTTTAAAAAGAAAAAGGATATATCACTTGTTCCGGAGGAATCTATTTATTAAAAAGAAATTGCGGACTGTGGCAAGATAAATTATAGGATGATTGTCCGAGGAGAGGATGTTACCAGAAAATAAATCGGTTTGATGTCTTGAAAGACTAGGCTACCGGTTCTAGAGCCCGTTTTAGAGTTATGTTCCAGTTGCAGATGCACGTACAGTCTATCCAAATTTCTATTACACGAAGTAATGAAGCCAACACTGCAAGATTGGTAATATAATAATTTTTTATATGTAACGGTTAAAGGTTTATTTTTTAAGTGAAATGAAACTTCAAATGTGAGGATGTCAAATGGCCAGCATGTGAATGTTGGCAAAGTTGGAATCATCCATTTGACTAAAAAGGGAGTTCCTCCCAAAAATGAAACCTCAAATGTGAGGATGTCAAATGGCCAGCATGTGAATGTTGGCAAAGTTGGAATCATCCAACTGTTGACTAAAAAGGGAGTTCCTCCCAAAAATGAAACCTCGAAGGCAAGGATGTCAAATGGCTAGCATGCGAGTGTTGGTAAAATTGGAGCCAGCCAATAGTTGACTATAAAGGGAGTTCCTCTCAAAAATTATACTACTATTCCAGCCTTACACTGCTTGGAATATCTGTAATTACTGAAGAATGGAAGTTCCTTCCAAAACTGTTTAAGTGTATTACATTGATGGAACATTTTTCCCGTTTCATTTTCTTTAAGAAGAATGAAAAAATTAAAGAAGCTTGTTTGTAGCCATGCATGGCACAAATGTAGAAACCCATTATGTTCAGTAACTAATCCTGTTTTGAGGATGTTGCTAGCTAGAGCTGCCTCAGCTCGGATCAAATTGTGGCAATAGAATCGCAAAAACGTGTTTTTCCTACTAAAGTTCAAAGATATAAGGGACATGTGCACCCTTTTGAAAGCATTGCTACTATTAAACATTACAATTGGGCAAAATAAGCTACAATATTCAGTATAATTTCTCAGAGCCAATCAAGCGTCAACCTGTTTCAGACTGATGATCAAGTCTTTTTGCATCATAGCAATCGCATCTGTCCCAGATCAAGTGCTATCACGGTAATAGAGCTAAGGTAGTTGAAATGTATTTTTAACAGATTACATAATATCCTTATATACCTTTCAAAACAAAAAAGATTAAAATTGGAGAAATTAGCACAGTTAGTGCAGGTAAATGATAACTTTTCATTAAAACTTTTATCCAACTCTATCCTTGAGGATAGAGGTCCATGCATTAAACAAACTTGACTAGACTTAATCTTCAATCGAAAAGTTAAACAATCTTAAGTGTGGATGATCCAAAATTGAAACTTGTACTAGATATAGCATCATAAAAATCACACACTTTGATGAGAATGTTTAAGATTAAAATTACTTGAAAGTATCAGCTTTTTTAGCTAGGTCACTAATTTTTTAGAAATGATGCTTTAAATGCATAAACTGTGAAGTCAGTGTTATCACTTTTCATCTTTATTCATACAGTATGTATTACATTAATGTCGGTACCTTGACAGATATTAGTCATATAAAAATGCATGCACACAAAACATTGTGCCTACTTGGGAAGGACACATGAGAAACAGTTCTAAGGATAGCATAGACAATGTGAAATCACAGCTTGCTAACCTTATTACATAAGCATGAGCATCTTTTTCAAAGGTCATTGGGTTTGTGTCTTTATTGTTGCAACTTATGATAATCTCCTACTTTTTCAATACATTAATCTTGAATAAGATGAAAGTAAGGCATGAAACATCAGAGGCAATTATGAAGCAATTATATCATTATCGAATGATTCTAATGTAGCTGGCAGACTGGGGAACAATGACATCCAGTGACTCAATCAGTCATGGTGTCCAAGACATGACCCTCTTCACTGATGCATCGGGGAGTGGTTGAAGCTGTGTATGAAATGGCATTTGTGAAGGGCATGTTCTAAAAGGTGTACTGGCTCCAATTTAGTGGACTTTGTGGCCTTATCCATTGTTTAGTCATTGTGTGGTTAAAATGACTAAAAGGTGGACTGATACAAAGGCCACTGTTTAGATATTTTCATAGAAGAATGACTAAAAAGTGGCTTCAAACTGGAGTATAAAGGGTTAAGTAAAAGGATGGTACTGAGTGATCCAACCCACCCAAGATGCATGCCTAATAGAATCATAAAACCTTATCAAGTGATACAATCTGTACCTGACACCATCAACTATTGTATCTTAGTATCCCTTTAAAATTGTATATAATTTTGTCAAAGTAACAATTATCACAAACAATGAAGCTCTGATTTCATAACTTTACATGACCCAAAAATAGCCTCGAGACAGCTTAATGTTGAGAGGTGGGGGTAAACAATGCTAAAAAAATTAATTACAAACTTTTCCACAACTTGCAGTTGGTAAGGGTATATGTGTATCCCAATTGATATAGAATTTTCCCTATTAAATGATTATGTCGGAGGAGTTTGCAATCATTAGTTTTAAGCTGTGATTTGCAAAAAATAAAAGAACTAGATATAGTTGAATTCTATTGTTGATGAAAATTATAAAGTTACATCATTTTTTGTAAATATATCAGAATCAATAGCATTCCATTGTAAGTTTAAGGCAGAATAAATCTGGAAGAGCTGAATTACAAGGCTCTCATACTTTATCTCTAAAATCTAAAATTGACATGCTTTATAATTTTAGTATGACCACACTTGTATAATATTTGCATAATTTGTCAAACTTAAATTATCCTTCACATTCTTTTCAATGGGGACAATCTAGCTGACAATCTACCTGACACTCATCTGCACGCCACCTAAATATCTTTGTTGTTTCCCTTACAAATGTTGACTGTATATTTTGAAAAGTGAAGCTCCTCATGTTATAATGTTGAACCCCGGGGCTGGACAACCAACACCTTAACTCAATTTAATTTGGAGAGGGGGGGGGGTAAAATGGTAAAACAATTGATTAAATTTACTTACCTTTTTTTCCACAACTATCAATTTGTAAGGACAGTTGTGAATTCCAATTGATATCAAATGTTCCCTTACTGAAAATATCATAGAAGTTTGCAGTCAGTAGTTTAAATCCTTCAGTATATATTTTATGAAAATGAAAAAAACGTATGGCGTAGTGTTGAATTATATTTTTGTAAAATGACCAATATAAAACCATTCATTTTTTTGTTTTGTAACTATATCAGAGTTATTTATCATTCCATTAAAACGGTTGTCTCTTAATGGCAGGGAAATATGGAGGTATGTGTGGAAAGTCACTTTTATTTGCTAATTTTTCCAGCCCCATGTCACTTGAATGGTAGCTTTTATCAAAAATTGCCACAAGTTTCGCTTAATCCTATAAATACTAAATCTGAAAAATCTGTTTTCCTTGAACATGCTAAAGCCCGTGTGATTTGAGTATTATCGTTAATGGCAATAATTCCTCCAGCACTTTTTTATCACTAACATTTTTTGTGG